ACCCTTCCTTCAAGTATAAAATTTAAAGAAGGCGTAATTTGCTATCAAACGTAAACAAGAAATAATTTTTCCATCCATGTTTTCCATAAAATATATTTGAATTTATAAAGGTAGTCAACATATGATAAAAATATACTACTTAAGTAGTCAGTTTTTACAATATATACGTTTTGCTAGGAGTCGGCACGAAGCTCGTTAAAAATCCGGCTTCCTATCCTGACTAGGAGTCGAAACGAAGCTCGTTAAAAAGCCGGCTTCCTATCCTGACTGAAATGACCATCAGTATCACAACTGGAGTCAATTCCGATTAGCGAAAGAGTATTAGTCTTTCGCATATGTCGAAATATTGCATGATCAACGGCGTCTACTGTACAACTTCTTCGTCGGAGGGTTGACAGAGCACACTTTCGTGACATCACCAGGGAACTGTAGTCAAGAAATGTTGATTTTAGACTGCTTGAGTGCAATAATCGAAAATAACGCATTAGACGTGACGCAAGGATGCGTGCAGTAAAGCTCGGCGTCTAAAACCATGCGCAGGCAACAGGTTAATAACACACAGTGAAGCTGAGCATCACCAGGATAAACTCACGATTGCTAATATAGATGGGAGGGGCGTCAAGTTCTGGTAGTGGACAAGAGCCAGTACTGTTGGCATGTGACCTTCGCGGGCGCCGGCAAATGCCAATCTGTGAAAATAAGAGGAGCACAGTTTGAGAAGAAGATTCGATCACTGGGACAACATTTTTTTCACCTGACGTTTCGACATCCGTCGCGGATTCTTTATCAGAGACATTAGCAGAAAGTAGTAGAACAGTTAGTTTGTTAGTACCAATTCAACTACAGTAAGAGCGGGTACCTCCTATTCTTTTTAGACCACCCACAATAATTCAGTGCAAAATAGTAAACGTTTGTAGCCTAGAAATCAAATAAGTGTTAAATTGTTCATACTAAACTTAATCTCACAATATGCAAATACACGTGCCAAACAGTCAGAGAATGAAGATAGAGTGATTATTTAGATATGCGGCTTGGATTGGTAGCATGATAATAACTGATCTGCCCAGAGGTATGCCTGCCAAAGACAATCAAGAGTGAAACAGGTCTTTCGGACATCTTTTTCTAGGAACAGTAGGCTAAGCTCTCAAATAGGCTGCGGAGATTTGGAATGTTAAATCTGGATGTGGTCAGGAACCGAGTTCGATGCTCTACCAATTCAACCAATGGAATGTTACTGACTGCAGTTAGCGGATTGTGACTCCGTAGCCCAATAAGGAATGAGCATCCCAGTCTGCCAACTTCTCGGAATATTTTTATTATCCCTCTCTGGTAGTTTGCCTACCACTTTGCGAATATTGATTACTTGTCGGCATTGTAAGGATTCGAAATTAGAGCTCCTGAGTGGAATAGGTAAGGGGACAGACAGAGGAATCTAGCTCACGAGTAATCTCGATCTGCAAGTCTCTTGGATGGGCGACGTTAACGTAGAAAAAAACTTCAAAACAAGTTTAGTTGACCCAATTGTGAAAAAACTCGCGGCATTCGGCGGGATTCAAACC